CAAACACGAGAGCGTAGTGACAAGCCGAATGCAAAGTGCCCTAAAAATTGGAGCACTAAAAATTGGAGCGAAGGCGAGGGATTGACCCTAAACGCAAACAAAACAATCCTGGTCCCGTTCACAAGAAAGAAGCTAAATTTGAAAGCCCTCGCCCTTAACAGTACACAACTAACATTTTCCAATGAAGTGAAATACTTAGGGGTCACCCTGGACCGAACTCTCACTTGGAACAAACAGTTAGAGAAAACATGCTCTCAAGCTACATCAGCCATCTGGTCATGCCGAGAACTTATTGGCAAAGCATAGGGGCTAAAACAAAAGATGGTATTCTGGATTTACCAAACTATAATAAAGCCCATGGTCACATATGCCTCATTGGTGTGGTGGCCCAAAACTCAGCAAGTCAGCGCTTAAATCAAGCTAAGAAAGATACAAAGGCTGATATGTCTAAGAATAACGGGAGCAATGTCAGCTTGCCCCGCCGTAGCCTTAGAGACGCTACTCAACATGCCCCCACTTCACCTATGTGTGAAAAAGGAGGCAATAACCAGCGCACACAGGCTATTTCAAACAGACAAGTTCAAGCAGTTCAAGCCTGGTCATCTGGAGGGACATCTGCGTATCCTTGATTTAATAAAACTGGAGAATGCCAGCAAACCAAGTGATCACATGATGGTCCGATTGGACTTAGAGATCCCATTCGCAGCGGTAATAAACGACCGCCAATCATGGGAGAATAAAGAATTACCACAAGCAGACAATGCATCTCTGTGGTACACAGATGGATCTAAACTAATGGAAGGAGCTGGACTGGGCATATCTGGCCCTAAGTTCAAGCTCCCCAAGGCATTGGATAAACCTCCTACAATATTTCAAGCAGGACTGCTTGCCATAGATATATGTGCACAAGAGTGTCTTAACCAAAGACTCAAAAGAAAACACATCTTCAAACTAACAGACAGCCAAGCTGCTTTAAAAGCCTTATGGCTATTTGCACGGCTCTCACTTAACGGATATTTAATCTAAGTAGAGCTTTGAGCTCTGACTTTTGTTTCTACAAGAGTCACATTCGAAGCTCCACAGTGTAAATACCCGTTAAGGGCTTTCAAATGCACGTCAAAACTAGTCTGGGAGTGTAAACAGACCCTAACAACACTAGCGACACACAATCAGGTAACGCTGATGTGGCTGGTCATCGAGGCAAAGAAAGAAAGAAGAAGCAAATGGCCTCGCAAAAGAAGGTGCCTCAACACCATATCATGAACCAGAGCCCTATTGTGGCTTAATGAAAAGTCGCATCATGGAAGAACTCAACAAATGGGAAAAAGACCAACTGTCACCATATTGGAGGCACACTCCGGGAATCAGACACTCAAAAAGGTTTATTACCCTTTCAGCAAAAAGAGCTGAACAGCTCCTAAACATGAGCAGACCAGACATCAGATTGGTGGTAGAACTGCTCACAGGACACTGCCTGGTAAAATACCATTCAAGGTTAATGAGCACAGCAGAAGACGATCTATGCAGATTCTGCTCAGACGCAATAGAGACCGCAGAGCACCTGCTCTGCGAATGTCCAGCCCAATTCTGCAAGAGGCTTAAATTCCTCGAGGGGCAACACCGTTACCAGAAGAAGTGGGCCAACTGACACCCAGGAAAATAGCTTCCTTCGGCAGAAGTCTACGCTTCCTGGGGACAACTTAAGATGTAGAGTCACGTACAAAATATCTGCAAAGGTAGCAGTGCTAAGCGGCTGAAAAGCCGAAATGACTCCCCCGCAATCTACAATCTACAATCTCTCTCTAGCTGAGAGTAATATCTTCCTGCCTTATACAGAGTACCAGAAATAAACCATATGGGTCTATCAAAACTATTTATGGTATGACACAGTACCGCCTCTGGACACAGAACTGGAGTCACAAATTAGTTCGAGTGGTTTCACCGGATCATAATGAACAAGTACTTGATTATCTACTAATAATTTTTTTCCGTACATTTAAATTCCACCCCCTTCTCTAATAAATGGTATAAGGGTTTCAAGACTGATGACAACATAGGAAGAAATTTATTATAAAATTTTAATAAACCCAAAAATGCTGTCAGCTCAGTTAAGTTTTTTGGGTCAGGAGCATTCAAAATTGCTTGAACTTTTTCAGATGTCGGATGTATGCCTTCGGCGTCAATCCTATGCGGCAAGTACTCTACAGAATCAGAAAAAAATCTACATTTTGATATGTTTACTTTCACATTATACTCTGCCATTCGAGAAAGCACCTGGACACACATTTTTGTAATAGCAAAATTATTACCCATGACCAAAGTAACAAATCACACCATTCAAATCACTTGAAATTTTATTCATAGTCATTGGAAAAATTGCTGGGGCAATGGTAATTCCATAAGTTAGCCGAGTATATCTATACAACCCAAAATTCGTGTTAATGGTCAAAAGTTCCTGAGAAGAGGTATCCACAGACAATTGTTAATAGGCACCCAACAAATCGAGGATACAAAATACAGAAGCCCCCATTCAATTTTGCTAAAATGTCATTTATATTTGGAAGAGGATAAATATCCTGACGCAACACTTGGTTTCACTTGGTTTAAGGTCACCTTAAAATCCACGCAGACCCTGATATCCCCAGTTTTTTTTTTTTTTGTACAATTACAATAGGACTAGCCCAATCACTGGTACTTACAACCGGAACCAAAATAGCATCATCAAGCTTAAGTTTTAATTTATCTTGTAAAGCAAATGGAACATTGTAAGGTTTCCGGAAAATAGGAGTAGTATTTTCTTTGAGTTTAAATTTAACCTCAAACACCTTTATGGGTTCCTTAGTAGAACTTAAAAATACTGATGGAAACTTTGCTGCAAAATGAGAAAAGGCTTGGCTTTTATCAGTATTTTCACGTTCAGAAAAGTTTGACACATTATTAATAAAAATATTATTTCTCCACATTGGACTCATTATATGTAACCAATCACGTCCCAGTAGTGGGGTGAAATTTTTCTCGATTTTTATGACTAATAAGGGTAATTCAAACTTCTGATTATTGAAACAAACACTGACAAACATTTCCCCCACTACTGAAACTGATTGACCTGTCACAACACTTAACTTACAACTAACAGGCTCTAGAACTATACCCCTAAACAATTTTTGAAAAAGTTCATTGGAAATCACTGACCTTGATGCACCTGAATCAATTTCCATGACAATAATCTTACCATTCAGTTGCAGGCTAATTTTTTTTTGCATAATTTGGTCCAGTTAAAGCTGCCAATCGTGCCAGAACATCATCCGAGTCGTCAGAGGCACCGGAGGTGACACCGGAAGCAGTCTCCAACGCCTCTGGTTCATCTAAGTTATGTAGACTTTTTGCTCGGCACATTGACGAAACGTGCCCCTTTTCTCACAAGAAAAACAATTCCATCCATAGCAGGGCATGTAAATGGCTCATGAGCTTTTCCACAACGAAAACACTTCTGACTCATAGGTTTAATATTTCTCACCAACTTCCTAGAACCAGCACCTTGACCAACATTTTTTTTGTGTGTAAACTGCACTTACGCCCTGGATACTACTATCTGGTTGAAATAATTTGATTTGAGCATTGCTAGCTCGAAACTTAAAGCTAATTCCACAGCTGACCTAAATATCAAGTTTTTTTCAGTTAATAATTTTCTTCGATGCCAAACCACATACGAAACGATCTCTTAAGGCATCATCTAAAAAAGTATTAAATGAGCATGACTTTGCAGCATTTTTCAATTTCACCACAAAAGATGACACTGGCTCAGCTGGATCATGAGTAAGTACACTTATAAAATTTGAATCTTTCAGCAATAATAATTGTTACTGGACTGAAATGGTTTCTCAAAGTCGTTTTCAGAGACTCGAAATCTTTGTTGCTGGGTAAATCAGGGGCCAAAAGATTCTTAAGCACTTCATAAGTATTAGCACTCAACAAAGTTATGAGCATTGCTAGTTTTCTCTGATCTGGAACCTCATTATAAATAAACAGTTGGTGTAAACGATCGAGCCAATTCACAAAGTCACAAGATTCCGGATTAAATGGTTCTATGTTCCCTATTAATGCCATTTATAGGTACTTACACTGGACAAATTAAATTGAAAGCATTAAAAAGTCCCTCGTTTTTATTCTCATCAGTGACTTCACCGATGAGTTAGCTATCTTTGTTTAGTGAATGGAAAATGACAATGACGGCCATAGAATGGTGGATCCATCGGTAAAATTTGATGAGAATAAAAACGCATCAATGTTTACTGGACGCAGGACTTTATTTTAAGGCCACAAAACACACTACAAAGACTATAAACCCACAGGGTTTATTTTAAAGACCACACGACATGACCTATCTATGATATGACATTTCCTAATTTGCAGGGTGTCCCAATTGTAAAGCAAACCGCAGTATAGAAGAACGGAAAATAGGTAGTAATTATGTGGTTTATTACTGGCAATAAGGCTGCCGCAGCCTTATTCTGAGAATTGCGCAATTGTCGCTGTCCAGTCGCTGTCAAACGCGAGTTTTCTATTCAAAAAATGCAAACTTGCAACCGGTTGCTGGTTGCTGGTTGCTATGCAGTTGCTGTTCGTCTGTTCGTAGAGAATAAGCCTGCCGTGCCGAGGGCCTGGAGATGACAAATGCCATATCCGACAACGGTCGGTACCATTCCAGGTACGTCTAGTATATAGTTCAATTGGAGAAACATCATGTGTTTTGTGCCCTGGACTGGATGTTTTGTGCATCATGTCACGGCGCCAGATGAATGCACGTGTGAAATTCCTTCCCATCCTATCATTGCGTGCAGCCCTCCTCACTCACGTACATGATTTTTCACAGGTTTTTGCAGATGACACGATAAACCGCGCGAAATAACGTGTGTGTATGCCGGCCTAAAGGGCCTGGTGGTGCATGTTGGGACAGGCTAGAAAAAATGTCAATAGTAAATTGACAACAAAAAATCAAAATGCTTCAAAATTATTTTTACAATTTAGTCTTTCTGTTGTATACAATACCTAGTGCGGGACCTGAAAACTCGATTTTAGAGCGCAAAATTCCCGAAACTCGTATAATACACGGATACGAGTGTTCGACAAAAGAATATCCATTTGTCGTGAAGATTAAATTGGACTATGAAGGGCAAACCGTGACTACTTGTGGAGGAACTCTTCTTCGACCGAATTGGGTACTAACTGTAGCAAATTGTTTTATATTTAAAGGGATAACTACAAGAGAGAATTTTTGGATAGAGGCAGGTTGTGATAATTCTCAATCACGACAAACTGTTCAAGCTGGCACTGCTCATTATCATCCAAAATATAATTCGTTCTATTATTCGCACGATATAGCATTGGTGAAATTACTACATCCAATAAAGTCTGCAGACGGTATTGGTTACGCCACACTTCCAGGACGCGATGATCCAATTTGCTCGAAAGCCGTTGTAATGGGCTGGGGCCTTACGAGTAACAGCCTGGATCCCTATCAAGTTTCTCCACCTACTCTTCAATGCGGGCACGTTGAAATTATCACCAAAAAACAATGTTCAGAACTATGCAAAAATTATCTTGCCTTCCATGCCGATAGTCAAATTTGTACCTTTTCCAAGGGAAATGAAGCCGAAGCGAGAATGCGAGATTCTGGAGGACCATTATTATGCGGTGATGTACAAGTTGGCATAATTTCTTTCAAACCTCTCGATATTTTAAGACCTGATATTGCTGCAGATTTTCCATTTGTATATACCAACATACAATATTTTCTGGATTGGATCAATGATACGATGAAAGATAATGAAACCTCGAGTGGAACTATGCACTTGCGTACTATTTCCATTGTATTTATTATTTTTTTCACACTATTGCATAATGTAAGTTTATGTCAATAAAATGGTTTTATTTTGAACATCCGACGACTTAAAGTTTATACTAGTTCTCGATCGCTGTTTTCGATTCGCTTTGGTCCGTCTTCAAGGCTTACCAAATTAGAACCAACCGTTTTCGATTGCAAACCAGTGACGTGACAGGTATCGCTTGGTCCGTCTAAATTCGAATCCAGGCCCTGGGGCCTTATTCTGTAAGGAACGAACTGTTCGATTCGGTAGAATGTCTTCGATTGTGACGTCATTTTCGGTTCGGTAGCGCGAGACCCAAACCAAAAATGACGTCACAATCGAAGAAATTCTACCGAATCGAACGGTTCGTTTTTACAGAATAAGGTCCCTGGGCCTGGATTTCGGAACCCACGATTCGATATTATAGTCCATATAAAATAGATAGATCATACTATCGAATCGTGGGTTCGGAATCCAAGCCCTGGGGCCTTATTCTGTAAGGAACAACTGTTCGATTCGGTAGAATTTCTTCGATTGTGACGTCATTTTCGGTTTAGTTTTCGCTCGTTTTCGCGCTACCAAACCGAAAATGACGTCACAATCGAAAAAATTCTACCGAATCGAACGCTTCGTTCCTTACAGAATAAGGCCCCTGGGCTGGGATCACGACGAGTAGAATTCTACTTTCATGACGTCACCTGCGACCTATTTATCGCGTACAATACAGGCGATGATGATAGGCAACCTGACGTCATGATGTAACATTGCAAATGTCACATGTTTTTTTTTCTATAAATAATATTTATATTTTAAATTTTCTATAATTATTCAGTCAGTGTGGCGGCATCTATTGCCAGCTGAATGTATTATTTTATCGGCCACCTCGAGAATGGAGTAGGCTTTTTCTTTTGTACTACCTAGATCTATTCGACGCCCAGTACTGCAGTTGCTCTTTAACCTCATTAATAGTTTTCGAACGTAGTAATTTTCACATAGTTGAGGGTCGACAGGTTGAGTGTTTTTCTTCAGTACTGTCAAATTAAATGTATTGATTCTCGAAGAGAAAATTGAAAAGTCCCGTTTCTTATCTGGCCGTTGCCCTGAGAGCTCGACTCTCAATTGTGGTTTCGGGGAAAAAATATCTTATTATACGAAATAACGTTGCCTAAGAGAATAGTACAGTGAGAATCATTGCAATTGGCACACACTTTAAAAACATCCCCCGTAATGTATCAAAATTTTACTTCTTTGACACACAGGTAATGTCAAAATCTTGTCAGATTGATAAATCAGTGGTGAACATAATAATTTGTATTAAACTGTTGAAGGAAAAAATATATTTGTACACCACTGCACTAAATAGATTTAATTGGTTAAAATTTTGACTTAATACGAGGGATCTTAGAAGAGAATAGTATGTGCCAATTGCAATGAATCACCCGTCCTACGACTTGTAAATTTGCGGATTTCTATTGAATCTCCAGACCATTTAACCGTTATATAGCCAGCCCAACTTTTGATTTCTTTGGTTTACCTGATCAAGGTTTGTTGAGTTGTGTGCATTATTTATTTCTTTTTCAGGATTACCAATTACCGTTTGCTAATTATTTTCTAGGTGTGTTTCTGAATTTTCACACTTCCATATTTTATGCAATTTTATATATATTTTTTTAAATTCAGTGGTGCCCTCGCCGTACTGTACTTATTAAAAACTATCAACCCACACCTAATTTTTTTTTCGCTGAGCAAACCGAGCATATTATGGACCCATAGTTATAGTATTTTACATTATTAGCCAGGTAAAACAGTTTTTACTGGTGATTGAAGGAAATGACTAGCGAGCCGTCAGAGCCAGTAAAAACTGATACCTGGTGTATGATGTACAATAATTTATTTGTTACTCATTTGTAAACAATCTTAAACAATAAATAAAAAATTATTACATAGGTAATACAGTTTTAATAAATAATTCTCTGACCCTACTGACTTGTAAAAAGTTTTTACCTACGAGCGTGCGGTAAAGTGCACTTTACCGCACGTATTTGCAAATGGAAAGTATCACTTTACCGCACACTATGCGGTAAAGTGCACTTTACCGCATAGTGTGCGGTAAAGTTAACTTTACAGCATAGTATGCGGTAAAGTAGAATACAAAGTGTGCGGTAAAGTGCACTTTACCGCATAGTGTGCGGTAAAGTAGAATTTGATATTTATAATCAAAAATCCTCTCTTTTTCAGAAAATGGATTTTTGATCATTTCTAAATCTTATCTAATTTCATTAATTAATCGGATTCATTAATTAATTTTATCAATGCCTTTTTTTGGAGATGTAGATGCTCATAGGTAAAATTTTGTACCTAACACATGCGGAAAGTGCCTTTACCGCCCTTAACGGCTTGACCGAACTCCGCTTCGCGTCGTTCGGTCAACTGCCGTTGCGTGCGGTAAAGTATCACTTTCCGCATTTGTTAGGTAAATAACTATTACAGTTTAGCTGTCAATTTTACAAGGCAGTAGAGACAGTAACTGGTAAAAATCAATTTTCGTTGTTAATGTTTTGACTTGATAAATGACGTTTTACAAATGAGTGACAAATAAATTCGTTAACAAAAGGGGTTACAATGAAAGTAGAATTCTACTTGTCGGGATCTCAGGCCAGCTTCGCAAGTTGGTTCGAATTTAGGTTTACTTTTATAACATTAAAAACGTGGCGTCTTTCTTGACAGACTAAATTCAAAAGCTGTCAACCAACTTCTGCCATATCCGAACCAACCAGGCCGAACCGCGTTGCGAATCCAAAACGGCCAATGCAATGTTAGTGATATCATTTTCTTGCATTGTCGCTTGCAGGTTGATCAAAGGGCAGTAACAAAACTTGGCTTAAGATTAGAAATCGATTACCTGTTAATTATTCCTACACCTTCATTCAACATTAGAAATATATTTATAGGGAAAGGCATTCAAAACATTTTTCAAAACACCGATTGGTCCAATGGAGAGGGCAAGTTCATTCATGTAGAGTATGGCGACATCTTTAGGCCTACTCGAATACTATTCTGCTGACCAACGTTGCTACAGATGATACTAGGCAGTTTTCGAAATCTTCAAATATTATCACCGGTTGCCGCTAATGGGCTCTTTCACTAAAATTTAAATACGTAATTTAGGTACAAAATCCCAAAGGAGGGACTATTTTAGGCACATATACCAAAAAAAAATGTTCTACAAGGTTAAATAAGTTTTTTACAGGCATTTTAAACTACCAAAATTTGAATTATTTAAAAACGCGCCGATTTGCTGACGTCGCATAAATATTTTTCATTTCGCTTGTTGTTGGAAAGAGCTGTCCGCCTCTGCTGTATTTATCCTGTAGTAAATGCAGGTAAAGGTTCGAATGCGCTGTTGTCGGTGGTGACTAAATGTAGTGCAACGTAAAATAAATAAATAAAACTAAACATAGAAAATTATATTAAATTGTGTTTAAGCATAATTTCAATAAAAATGTTATAAAATCATGAATCCATAACTAATTAATTTAACTACTTTTCATGATATTTTGGGAACATTTCAGAATTAAATCTATTACAAATTTTCAATGTTGACAATTAGTGGCAACACGGTCAAATAGCGAGCTGCGACGTCATAGAAATAAATTCTGGGTTTTTATTTGGAGGTATTTCTTTTTTTTTCTGTTTTCTCAAGAAGGACTATGAATTTTTCAAAAGTAAAAATACAGAAAATTCTGTTTTTAGTTGCTTTATCCAAATATGCCAATTTCAAAAATTAGTGAAAGAGCCCATTGACAACTATAACATTTGAATGTCATTCAGCGTATATTGCTACCGATACCGTCCGCTATCCTATGGACGATAGACATAGGCTGGGTTCGGTAATTGAATCTGCAAGCGAAATAAGCAAAATTTGATAGATGCCACGTGATTTGACACGTGAAAAATAATAAGTGATCCTGTGACGTCAGTCATAATTTGCTCTTTTTGCTCGATACTCATGCGCAGCACTGTTGAATTTATGTCTATCTTTTTTTTTTCTCTAGAAACGTGAATCGTCCAACATTTTTCTATTTTGTGTTTCATGTTTGTTTTCATTAGTTTTTAGTTGTGCTATATTCGGATTTGTGTGAAATTAAATTATTTATTTTCTCCTTAACTATTATAGATCCATAATACCTAGGAAACGAAATACGTTAACATAACTATAACAAGGCATTATGATCCCCGCTTTTGAGGGCGTTATGATCTATAACGCCCGCTTATATAATACCGTGAGGTGTTTTTGTTGTTGCTGTTTTATTAATTTGCACTTAACCCTAGACAGCCACTAAATGTCCGACCGAAAATAATTTTCGGTCTTGGGCCTTATTCTGTAAGGAACGAACCGTTCGATTCGGTAGAATTTCTTCGATTGTGACGTCACAATCGAAGAAATTCTACCGAATCGAACGGTCCGTTCCTTACAAAATAAGGCCCCTGGCCAGGATTCGAACTCGGTCTACCATCAACGTTTCCCATTAGTCTAGCGCGTTAACCCACACGACCACCGTTGCCTTGCCACGTGAGATGTTTATAAATATATTAATTTATTTCGTTTCTAAGTACAGGTACATGTCAAATTGTCAAAATACAAAACAATATTCTGTCCCACAAGTTTAACTGATTTTGTTTGATACTAAATTGATGAAAGAACATTGTGTTGAGTAGAAAATAAAGCATTGTATGCACCACGGGGATTTTTAGATTATAATGCCCTTCAGGCGAAATATATCCCTCGGGCCAGAGGCCCTCGGGCTAGTTTCTCCTTCGGGCATTATAATCTACATAATAGCTATTTTGAGCTTTTCTGTACATTTTCAGTGTTAGTTTTGTTGTTCAATGAATGCGGCTAACACTAGCACTGGAGTGCGTTTAGAAATGGAGCATGAAGGTAGAGTAATTGTTTGTGAGAGTGTTCTGACGTCATCACTTGGAGTGCACTCTGGGTGCGCTATTGGTCAACGTATTGGGGCGTTGCGGTAAATGTCAATGTCATGAATTACGACGCAAGTCCAACACTACAATTTCAAAAATGGCAGTGAGAAGTGCATGTATTATGTTCTTATCAAAAGAGGTCCTGCTGGAACATCCTTCATCTGAAGAAAGAAAGTGCTTCAGATAGTGAAGAGGAATTGACCTTTTGAATTTAGAAGCCTCTCTCTTTGGCGTCAGACTTTCAGACGCCAAAAAAGTATGAAAACAATGATTGACAGCCATTGACAGTGGTTTGTTGACAAGACTTTCATACGTGTGGAGGATGGAAACTATTATTTCCTCGGTTTTTTCAAGGTTTTCTCCTAACAATGGTGATTGTGTGTTGTGTAGTGTGCCTTTTCGTGAAAATAATTTCTATTCACCGGCAGACGTATCTTTCCATAAGTTTTTATCAAATCCTAAATTTGTCAAAATTTGGATACGCAAAATCAGAACGGATACTCGCAAAAGAAAGGGAAATCCACGGCCCATCAAGTATACAAATTACAAAGTAATCCACGTTCAAGTTTGTTTAGTTTGCGGAAGCTGTTTATTTCCCACATTTTCTTTCCAATTTTAAATTTCACCATTCTATGTCGGTCATTGTCATTTTCCATTCTTTGAACAAAGATACCTAACTCATCGGTGGAGTCACCGATTAAAATAAAAACCAGGGGATTGCTAAACACCCAATATACTTGACATTGACGAGTAAGCAAATGTTGGCGGGAATCTGATTGTTTTCATACTTTATCGTCCATCTCTTTTAATTGAAAACGTTAATTGATCCTATTGTTTATATGTTTAATAATTACAGAACCGCCGTCAACAGGGGGCTCGTTATTCTTCAATACAACGGCAAAGTCAACATTTTTGATATCTATATTTTTCGTCTCCGACGTTATCTTAAAGGACTCCAACACTAATAATCACAAAGAATAATCATAATGAAAATAGTCTTACAATCACGTCGAACCCGGTAAAAACCGTGAGGCTTTTTTTCAACCCAGTCCCTGAGTTTTTTGAGCGCACATTGGGGCCCGATTCTCGTCTCAGGGAGTACAGCTTCCCGATAGAACGAATGTTGTGTCCTTGTCAACATATCGAAAAGTAAACGAGAATGATAAAGACGAAAAATTTGTTCTCTCGGGGAACTCTACTCTCTGGCCCGACTATCGGCGCCCTGGGTCCTTATTCTTGAAACAGGAGAGCAGCATTTCCAGGGCTGCGTTCAAAAACGGCTAAAGCCAAGCCAAAATTGGCATATTGCGTTCAAGTTCGGCTCCAGCATGCCAAAAACGGTTGGCTTTACACGTTCAGAATCGGCCGCGGTAAAGTAACTTTTGGAGGTGCTTTTAACTGAGTCTAGAAATGGTTATACGAATTTTGATTGGATGAGACCAAATTCAATATGGCGTGGCGGCCAGCAAGTTAGTTTCGAATATGTGTTTCCATGCATATTTCAATTATTTTGCTTCGAGTTTTGCTTGCAGCTTTGATTTTGATTATTCAATAAAATATTTGTAGGTACGTAAACTATTGAGTTGGGCAGAAACAAGATATTTTTTGTGTTTTTTCGTCCATATGTGGACGCCACGCCATCTTGAATGTCACGTGGTTTGGATCGCCTAATTGAGAAACGGTATTTGGCGTTCCAGCAAATTCACACCAGTTTTGGCATTGCCGGTAGAAGGGGAAAAGTAGGTTTTGGCATTAGCATTGCCGTCTTTGAACGCACTCCAGGAGAACGAGTTTTCCTTCTTTGTTACTTAGATCATTATTTGCATATCATTGAGAAAGACGGATCACTTATTCTCCTAGGAACGCGGCTCTCTATTTTTAAAAATTAGGACCCTGGGCAAGTCAACTCTCGATTTCTGAACGATTCCAGCTTCCAGCGTAACGCTCGGAGTAAGCACCTGTTAATTTATGAACGGTTTAGAGTTACTCTAGGGTAACTCTCACACACAGAGTGCTTTTTCTAAACGCAACCCTGTATAGGGCATTCCAACGAACTGTCAAAAATGGCGACTGTCAAAAGTTAGCCAGGGCAAGCAAATATTGAAGTGCGCAAAAATATTGGTAAAACGCCTGCATTTTATTGTGTAGTGAATGTCTCGAACAATTCGAAAACAATTCAAAAACTTCAAATAGTGGCTAACAAGCACATCGCTCAAATCTAAAGGTTTCCTCGACTCATGTGTTGTACGCAAACGTTAGCGTTAGAGTAATAAGTCCTAGTCTATGTTGTTGGTATTTTGAAAAAAACAGAGTAAATCAAAACTAACTGAAAAAAGATTGTTAAGAGGACGGGTTACCTCTTAACAATCTTTTTAAAAAAAAAACCTAAGAAAAACGAAAAACCTAAAAAATGTTTTACTTCCAACCAGAATCGAACCCAGGTTCATTCCCTCCAGTTTTACCAATTCAAAAAGCATACATGATCGGTAATACCGGTAATACGCATAAATAAATGGTTAGCCTAAAAAAGTAGATCCTGGTGGTGTTAATTGGAACAGGCATGACAGAAAATTGACAACAAAAATTCAAAATGGTTGAAACTTTTTTTTATGTGACTATTTCACTAGAGTGTATTACACCAGCAATAAATTCGGTATTCACCTGACAATAACGCTACCTGGACAATACCAACAACATGGTATTTAAGCAACGATCTTTTGACATTGTCAAACTGGTATTTTTAATTTGAAGTTTTTATTCATAATTTTGCATTCTATTTATTTCAAAATCTTACGTGAAATAGTCATGACGAATACCACTCGAGAAAAAATTGTGTAGGCAAAATTGTTCTCAAGGTTTTATTCAAGTTTGTTGCTTTTCGGCAATTTTGTTGCCAAGCAACAAACTTTCATACCTTTCGAAAATTTTGCCGACAAAATTTTTTCTCTTGTGATATTATATATGATAATATTCCTGATTGTAAATTTTTATAAATTGAACAGTGCAAAGACTGGAAACTCGATTTTAGAGCGCAGAATTCCCGAAATACGTATAATAAACGGATACACGTGTTCGACGAACGATTATCCATTTATGGTGAAGATTGAATTGGGGTTAACTGAAGAGCAAACGTTTCATCTTTGTGGAGGAAATCTTATTCGACCGAATTGGGTACTGAGTGCAGCACATTGTTTTTTACAAGAAGATATACCTGCAATGGCGAATTATTGGATACAAGCAGGTTTCGATAATCTTCAATCACGACAAATTGTTAAAATTGAAACTTTTCATATTCATTCAAAATATAACCAGACAACTTTCGAGAGCGACATAGCAATGGTAAAATTACGACATCCAATAGTTCATGCAGACGATATTGGATACGTCAAGTTTCCAAGACGCAATGATCCAATTTGCTCGAAAGCCGTTGTAATGGGCTGGGGTTATACGAGTAACAACGTGGATGTCTATCAAGCACCTACAATTGCTCTTCAATGCGGTTCCGTTGAAATTATTGACAATAGCAAATGTTAAAAAATATTATCCAGAGAGAATTTAACTTTCGATTTTAATAAACATAGTCAAATTTGTACCCTCTCCAGGAAACAAGAAGCCGAAGTAAGAATGGGAGATTCTGGAGGACCCTTATTATGCGGTGAGGTACAAGTTGGCATTGCTTCTCTTAAAGTTCTTGAAGAGATTGATAACTTTGATATAGAGAGTCCACTTGTATATACTCGTGTAGAATATTTTTTGGATTTTATCGATGATACTATAGAAAATAGTGGAACTATGCACGCTCGCGTACTATTTTCATTGTATTTATTATTTTTCTTACATTATTACATAATGTAAGTTTATGTCATTAAAATGGTTTTATTTTGAATATCCCACGACTTAGAGTTTATATTAGTTCTCAATGCAATTTTAGTGGTATCATTTTCTTGCATCGTCGCTTGCTTGGTTGATCAGAGGCCAGGCAGTGACAAAACTTGGCTTAACATTAGAAATCAATTACATGTGAATTATTGCTACGCATTCATTAAACATTAGAAGTACAATTATGGAGAAAGGCATTCAAAACATTTTTCCAAAAACCCGATGGTTCCAATAGACAGGGCCAGTTCATTCATGTAGAGTATGGCGCCATCTTTAGGCCTACTCGAATACTATTCTGCTGACCAACGTTGCCACAGACGATACTGGCTTTTCGAAATCTTCAAATGTTATCACCGGTAGCCGCTAATTGACAATAATTGTGACATTTGATAGCGATAACGATACTCATGCGCAGCACTGTTGAATTTATATATATCCTTTTCTTTCTAGAGACGTTAATCATCCAACATTTCTCTATATTTTGCGCTTCATGTTTGTTTTCATCATTAGTTTTTTGTTGTGCTACATTTGGAATTTGGATCTGTGTAAAGTTAAATTATTTTCGAGTTTTCCTGTACATTTTCATTATTAGTTTTGTTGTTCAATGAATGCGGGTAACACTAACGCTGTATTGACTTGAATGTCTCGAGCGATTCATAAACACTTTAAATAGTGGCTTATAATCACATCTTCGAAAACTGTCTACTCACATTACCACGTCTTCATTGAGCCTAGCCAACACATTGATATAGCACTTATAACAATTGCTAGAAGAATATTATCAGAGGAACGATTTTTGAGATAACACTGGATATCCAGGGAACAATGACAAAATAGGCCACTCAGGAAAAAATAATTAAAATTCAAACTGCCACAGAAATACTATGAGGAATGAACGAGACCACCAAACCAAGGGAGAATGGAAACCCGAAATACAGATATCCCCAACACCAAGATAAACAAAGATGGGAAAATAGGGACAAACATAACAAACCACCCTACAAGGGAAACAAATTATACACCGTGAATACCGTGAAACAGGGCAATGAAAAATAGAGGAGAACCCAAGATTTCGTGAATCCACAAAAGTAACCAAGGTACAGAAATATGAAGGGAAAAGGAAACCACAAGAAGACACGCTAGATAAAATAGAAGTAGACAGTTCTGATTATATATCCCAGTATATACAAGCAGAAATCCAAGGAGTTTCTTGTGACATCCCTATAGATTCTGGATGGCAAATAAGCCGTCTCTCAAAACTATTTCATGAAGAGATTGAAAATAAGAATTATTCACTATTACCAACGTGGCAATAGTGGGTGCCGTTGGCCATAAGAGCAAGAGTATCAAAGAACAAACATTTGTCACAAATAAATTGGATAGAATGGAGTTTCTAGTTGTATGTCTAGTGGTCGAGGACCTGATACACAAATGCATTTTGGGAATTGACTGGATGACAAAGAATAAGGCAATTTTGGATTTCAAGCAAGAGCAACTAATAGTGAAGGAAAATTCTATAACATTACAAAAAAATGCAAATAATAGAAATCAGATAATAACTATCACAATAGGCCGGCATACACACACGTTTTTTCGCGCGGTTTATCGTGGCATGTTGGTATGTGGCGGTTAGCATGCGCGAAAGAACGGCGTGGCAAAAAAAACGTCATGTTCCATACACTTGACAAAGTATTCAAATGATTTATCATGTGAAAAAGCGGGGGATATCAATTTCAAAGGAAAAAACGTATGTGTGTGGGCAAAAAGTGTCAATTATCGTGTCATTTGAAATTGCATGTGGTCATGTATAATAGATATAATAGCTATTTGTGTATTAAGAGCGCAAAGGCTCTAAGAGCGGCAAAGTAAAGGTCATCAGGAAACGCCTACTTTGCGATCATAAATCTAATCGACAAAGCCTGCTTTCTAGGACGATTGTAGGAAAATCCTTTTCCTTCAGAATGCTTACAGCTTATAGAAGAATATAGCAGAGTGTTATTCAAAAAGCCCAGATTGACATCGGCCTATACACACACCATAACCTTGAAAGATAATAACCCGCTTAAGGCAAGGACTTATCCCGTACCCATGGCACACAGGGAAGAAGTACAACGAAAATTAGATGAAATGCTGGAAGACAAAATTATAAGATCAAACACGCCTTGTAAATTCCATAGTTGCGGGTCAGTTAAGTTAGCCCCCCCCCACATAGAAAATTCCTGGATAAAAATTATCCCATAATTTTGCTCTCATTTTGCTCCATTTTGCTCCACTAATTTCGATTTTTGCTCCATTACAGTGGAGGGGGGCTGAATTAACGCTAGCCCCCCCCCCCCCAGTGAAAATTTTGAAATTTGATCATTCTCATTTTGTTCTCCGAGTTTTGCTCCATTTTGCTCTATAATAATATAATAATAAGTTTTGCTCTATTACCAGGAGAGACCTACAGAGCTTCCAAAAACCTCTCCTAGCCCCCCCCCCCCCCCCCCCCCCCCCGGTGAAAATTTTGAAATTTGAAAATGCTCATTTTGTTCTATGAGCACGATGATCGGCGGGTTTGGCGCTCTCAAGCTGCTCTCACTTTCCTCGCCTATTTTCCCTGATGCACCAGTAACTGATTTTCAAGCGTTCGAGTGCAAAGCGCATTAAGTATAATGGGCGTGAAATGCTCCACACTGCACCCGAGAGCGGCTCCGGAATGAACTACACAGCTCCCAGGAATCTCTTTTGCAACACGTGGGAAAGTTTTGGAGTTTCTATATGCGCATTTTGTTCTCCGAGTTTTGCTCCATTTTGCTCCTTGATCGTCGAGTTTTGCTTCATTACCTGGAATGGCCTACGAGCTCCTAAGAGTATCTCATCGCCCCCCCCCCCCCCAGTGAAAATTTTGTTTGATCATATCCATTCTGTTCTCAGAGTTTCGCTCCGTTTTGCTCCATAATTGGCGAGTTCTGCTCCATTACCTGAGCTTCTTTCGGGTGCCACGCTTTGAGCACTCAGGCGCTCTGAAGCTGCTCTCATTTTTCTCGCCTCTTTTTCCTGATAACTGATTTTCAAGCGTTTCAGTGCAAAGCGCATTGAGTATAACCGTGAAGAGAACGGTGATCCCTGGTTTCACTAGCTTTGTTTGTTTCTTCGCACCAACAAGGCACCAACCGACACTTTCTACACCAAACGTGTTTGTTTATCCAAGGTTTATCCCTATATTTATTTTTTTTGTATGGGTCTGACTTTTTGGTGCACCTGGTGCACCTGGTGCAGACTGGTGTAACTTTGGTGCAATTAGAAAACAGAGCCCGCAAGAAGCCCTATTAGTGCAAAATGGAGCAAAACTCGGTATGAGTAATTTCAAGTTTCAAAATTTTCACTGGGGGGCAAGAAGAGATTCTTTGGAGCTCTATAGATCATTCCTGATATTGGAGCAAAACTCGGAGAACAAAATGAGCATGTTCAAATTTCAAAATTTTTACCGGAGGGGGCTAGGAGAGATTTTTGGGAGCTCTGTAGGTCTCTCCTGGCCCCGTATTCTTGACTGCCTGGGAAGGGAGTGTTCCTGGGAACGTTCCCAGGAAAGCTAGTTCACTTTCGCTCCCGGGAGCTAAGAGGTCGTATTCTTGAATACCCACAAGCGCTCACAATGTTGCCGCCTCAGAGTGTCAATCAAATCAAACTAACCAAAACGTGTTTCGAGCGAAAAAAGGAAGAGGAAGTTATCTAACCCAATATCTAACCCCACGTTTGATATTTATTATTGTCTATTTTTCAAAACTTTGAAAGCTGAAAGGCATTTGGGTTTGATAATATATTTATTTTTAACTACCCTATGAACATCATCGCTGTAAGTTTTCGATAACTGCATTCCTCATGAGATTTTTGATACATGAGGGAAAATTGCGCATAATTTTCTGCAGCATAAATTCCGTATTCCTGCTCCTGAACTTCATGTAGCTCATCAACTTCTGGAATACTGTGTTCTATGCATACCTACTTTTGTAGTTTTGGTTAAAGCCGAGACTCGCTTTGGAGCGGTAACATACGGGAGTAACCATATCCACTATTTCGTGGCATACATTTTTGCTTACTCTAAAAAATTTCACGAATTTCTGGCCAATGGAAAAGGCAGAACATCCCATCCTATTTCCTTTGCTTCTGAAGCATTTTTCATGTCTTCTTGGATTATGTTAGGTATGTTATTCAAGATAATCTCAATAAAATAATCCACATTCATTTTAATGAAAATACACAACGAATACAAAAACGAAAAAACCTTGAATTTCAAAGGAGAAAACGAAAACGTCAAGCTTGAAAACAACGTCAAGTCTTGAGGTTAGAAACCCTGACGGGAATTCGTTTTCTCTTGGGTAAGAGGATGGGAACTTCAGAATTCCCGGAAACTTTCACTTCACAGTCCCATTTTCAAGAATATGACATGTATCTTTTTGAGGTAAACCACGTCCACTTTCCGAGCAAGTTCTCCTCCCAGAAATCAAGAATACGGCCCCAGGTCATAGAGCAAAGCTCGCTGATTATGGAGCAAAATGGAGCAAAACTCATAGAACAAAATGGTAATGGAGCAAAACTCGCCAATATAATGGAGCAAAATGAAGCAAAACTCTGAGAACAAAATGGTAATGGAGCAAAACTCGCCAATAATGGAGCAAAACTCGCCAATAATGGAGCAAAACTCGCCAATAATAGAGCAAAATGGAGCAAAATGGAGCAAAACTCGGAGAACAAAATGAGCATGATCAAATTTCAAAATTTTCACTGGGAGGGGGGGGGGGCTGGGAGAGATTCTTGGGAGCTCTGTAGGTTTCTCCTGGTAATGGAACAAAACTCGCCGATCATGGTGTGCAAAATGGAGCAAGACTCAGAGAACAAAATGAACATGTTCAAATTTCAAATTTTTTACCGCGAGGGGGGGGGGGGGGGTTAGGGGAGATTTTTGGGAGCTCTGTAGGTCTTTCCTGGTAATAGAGCAAAAATCGAAATTACAGGAGCAAAATTAAAGCAAAATTATCGGATAATTTTCATCCAGAAATTTTCTATGGGGGGGGGGGCTAACTTAACTGACCCCATTGTTGCTGGTATAAAGAAGGACGGATCAATCCGCATTTGTCTGGATTTACAAAACCTTAACAAGATGATCGTCATGGATTATGAATGCTCACAACCAATAGATCACATTCTGTAGCAGAAGAGTCTGTCTCTGTGATTTTCATCCTTGGATCTGACAAGTAGTTATTGGCAAATAACACTGCACCCAGATGATACAAAATATTCTGGATTCAGATTTGAAGAAAGAGTGTGAGTTTGAGGAGGTTTTTCTGGAAATTTATCGCAGATTTTACCGAACGAAGTGGCGGGGGTGGGGCTATGGAACGTTCACCATCGGAACAGGAGGAACACATCATCTGGCTATCTATTATCGGGGCTTAGAACCTGCTCAGTCCAGAACCGATAGGACAAGGCCATCTAATAGTGAAGTTTAGAACGTCATAGGTACGGTATCTAGGCTGAGATCTGTAACAAAGCCAGAAACTGACAGATCGAAGTGACAGGAAATAACCCTGTCAGGTGACAGAGGAACCGACATTAATTTGCTTTTTACCTCCAACTATCCTGCAGAACAGACCAAAAAGTAACATCTGTAATCATCTTGAAGTTTAGCAAGCAAAATCAGAGGAAAAGTGCCGAAATAAAAGGTGAAGATCCTATTTAACATTCAGACAACTCAGTTGCTGACTTTGTTCCAGATCTCAGCCTTGGTCACTGGATACCATACTTATGACGTTCTAAACTTTACTATTAGGTGGCCTTATCCTAACGGTACTGGCCAGATGATGTGTTCCTCCTGTTCCGATGGTGAACGTTCGACATTTAAAGTTTATTTTTTAGGATTAAGTTTGAGGACTGCTAGAGCTAGTTTCTTAATAATTTTTCCTAGTAACTGCTGTGCAAAGTTTCCCAGAGTTTACAGACTTTGCTCAGGCACGCGATCCAAAATTTTTCGTTCTGTCGGAATGGCACTTGAGTAATTTCATACCTTGCACGGAGGGAAACCCAGAACAAAATTGGTCTTACCAATTCAAAGAGCACACATGGTCGGTAATACGCATAAATGAAGGATAAGCATAAAAAAAGTAGATCCTGGTGGTGTTTGTTGGAACAGGCACGACAGAAAATTGACAACAAAAATTCAAAATGGTTAAAAATTGTTTATATGTCATAATATTCCTGATTGTAAACTTTTATAAATTAAACAGTGCAAAGACTGAAAACACGATTTTAGAGCGAAAAATTCCCGAAATACGTATAATAAACGGATACACGTGTTCGACGAACGATTATCCATTTGTGGTGAAGATTAAATTGGGGTACACTGCAAAAAAATCGGTAACGAGTTGTGGAGGAACTCTCATTCGACCGAAATGGGTACTAAGTGCAGCACATTGTTTTTCATCTAAAGATGTACCTAAAGGAGTGGATTTTTGGATAGAGGCAGGTTGCGATAATCTTCAATCAGGACAAACTGTTGAAGTTGAAACTTTTTATATTCATTTAAAATATAAGGAGTCAAATGCCATAAACGACATAGCAATAGTAAAATTACGAGATCCAATAGTTCATGTGGACGGTATTGGATACGCCACGCTTCCAAGACGCAATGATTCAATTTGCTCGAAAGCCGTTGTAATGGGCTGGGGCCTTACGAGTAACAACTTGAATCCCAATCAAGCACTTTCAATTTCTCTTCAATGCGGTTCCGTTGAAATTATTGACAAAAGCAAATGTTTAGAAATATCCAGAGAGATTTCGATAAATTTCGATTTCGATAAACATAGTCAAATTTGTACCTTCTCCAGGAAACAAAAAGCCGAAGCAAGACAGGGAGATTCTGGAGGACCCTTATTATGCGGTGATGTACAAGTTGGCATTGTTTCTTTTAAAACTGTTATAGATCCTAATAACATGGATATAGAGTCTCCAGTTGTATATACTCGTGTACAATATTTTTTGGATTTTATCAATGATACTATAGAAAATAGTGGAACTATGCACTCGCGTTCTATTTTAATGGTATTTATTATTTTTCTTAGACTATTGCATAATATAAGTGTATGTCATTAAAATGGTTTTATTTCATACTGTAACGTAAAACACACCTTTACGTACTTAGTTTTAGTCTGGAAAATTAACTTTTTTAGTACTTGTCCCCATTTTGAATCATTCAAGGTATTCTATTATTTCCCTCAATAGAGTCCTCGATGTATTTCTCAGCTCCCGAGGAACTGTTCTACCCACCATGCCGTTTGAGTACAGTAAGATCGGCTCCAGCATTAGCAAGAAGAATTGCTGATGTCCGTCTGAAGCAGGGGCCCATGTACTTCACTACATCAGCAAGTCCCAAGAATTCAGCATTTTTTTTTGGGGGGGCACCGCCGATGATGTGGATGCCCACCCTTTGAGATATACACTTTCCGTTTCAATAGTCCAAGAAAAGGTAGTTGGTGTTTAGATTTTTCGGTCATAGTTGTAGTTCCTTTCGATACCCGCTACATATTTGGCGTCCCAACGTGTACCTGGGCTTTTGTAATGAGCCACCACCCCAATAACTTTCTTGACTAGTTTTGTGACTGTAGATCAATGAACTATAGAACGCGAGACATTATCAGTGTGTAAATGTGCATTCTTTGACTGAAGTGTGTAAGTTTTGCCACATTAGTTTTCTTTTAACGTCTCTCGTGAAAACGTGTCAGAAACCAGATACGGCCATATGTCATGAGCCCGATGATAAGACGATGCCTTTAGGTCTATCCACGGCACCAGCAACGTTTCAAAAGCTAATAAACCGTTTTTGTTCAGGTTTGCAGCATATCCAGATGTTAGGATACCTTGATGACTCAATAATTTTATCCACGACTTTTGAACAACACATCAAAGACTTGACTGATATTTTCAACCGACTACGCAAGTGAACAAGAAGAAATGCACTTTCTGTACTTCAGAAGTTTAATATGTTGGTCATCTTTTGGACGAGATGGTATCAAAGCCGATCCGGAAAAGGTTGCCGCTATCGCCCATCTTGTCGCACTCAAGAACGTGAAACAAGTTCTCAGTTTTCTTCAGACTTGTTCATGGTTCCGTAGATTCATTCAAAACTTTGCCAATGTCAGACCGCTAAGTAACTTGACGAGGAAGAACGTTTCGTGGTCATGGAAATCGGCACAATAAGAATCGTTCGAGAAGCTCAAATTTCTCCTGACTACAGCGCCTATTCTGCGTCAAGCCGGTCCTTCCAAGCCATACATTATTAAGACTAATGCCAGTGTCCATGCTATTGGTGCATGTTTGCTCCAGAGGAAGGGCACCAGACGAAAGACCGGTAGAGTACGCCAGTAGTTTACTTACTCCGGCCGAGAAGAGCTATAGCTGTACTGATCGAGAAGCCCTTGCACTTGTCTACGCAATCAACAAGTTTCGCTGATACATAGAAGGTTTACCAGTTTATGTCAAAACTGATCATCAACCTCTCCGATGGCTTATGTCATTAAAAGCAGCAACTGGTAGATTGTGCCAGTAGGCACTCCAACTGCAAGCTTTCGACCTCAAGATTGACTACATAACCGGACGTAGGAATGTCGTCTCAGATACATTTCAAGACCACCCATTGACTCGGATAACAATGACCAGTCACTAATAGCTGAGCTGTCGACACACTTACTATTTTGCCACCTAATAAATTGGCTGCAGAGACCAGAACCCAGCAGTTAGATGATCCATACACTAGGAGTATTATCGATTGTTTTGAGAATGCTGCTTCTGATACTGTCGACTTTGCCAGATGGACCAATCTAGGCTACCTTATGGTTCAGGGGATTTTACAACGTTACGTCAGTGACTCCGCATTCCTCAAGGTCGAGTATGTTCTATACTTCATGATTCTCGATTTGCAGGATACTACGGCGTCGAGAAAACTTTAAAACGAATCTCACAGAGGTTCTACTGGCGGACGATGAGAAAATGCCTAGAATGTCAGAGATACAAATCAACGAATTTTAAGCCTTCTGGTTTGACTCAGACTCCTGTTCTGGCTCAGCGATTTGAAACCTTAGCTATGGATTTATTTGGACCACTGCCTGAAGCAGAAACAGGTGAAAGGTGGGTTTTCGCTATAGAAGATACTGCCAACAAATGGATAGAGTTATTCGTACTGGAAAATGCTATAGCTGAAGCTTGTGCGAAATGCCTTATCGATGCAGTGATTTTCAGATATGAAGCTCCCAGAAAGGCCATCAGTGACAATGGCGCGCAGTTTGTCACTGTTGCTCACTGCCCCGGTTCTACCCAAAATCTCATACCGTTGCTGGATGATAATCCAGCTTCCAATCCTGAAGAGAGAAGAGAGATCTGAAGACCCAGTTAGCAATACTTGTGGACAAGGATCATACTAAATGAAAAGAAGTCTTGCCTTCTGTGAGATTTGCAATGAACTCTGCTAATCTCTGAGCTATCGTTAATAGCGAGAACTTCATTCATGACTTACCCCAAAATTAAAGATTTTTGCTTATGGCCTGTCAAACGTTAGAGAGACAAATGTACTGAGAAAGGATGCGTCCTAGTCCAAGATGCATGCTGACAAACGTCGACGCAATGAACCATTACCAACATAGGAGTAAATGTTTTGGTCAACTTGCATGTGCTGAGCAAAGGATCGCAGGCTTACAAATCCAAGTTCGCCCCTATATAATCCTGAAGATAATATCGCCAACCTCTTATCAGATTGCCTCCACCCAATCTCCAACAGTACATACCATTCATCAGCTCTTAGCAAGTACATAGGTGACGAAGATCTAGTTTCTGTTATAGGCCTATTCGACATAGAGGTCATCCACCTGGTAGAAGGACTTCAAGGGTTCGACGACCCGAAGAGTTTTTTGACGATGTCTAATTTTGTTGGGACTTTGGCGAGACGCTACAAGTTCCAAAGGGGGAGAATGTAACGTCTACACTTGCGTAGCCATAGCCACTACCATGTCTGACAAGTGTTATCAGTCAATCATGCATAGATGCTGTGTTGAGTTCCCTTCGATACCCGCTACAATACCTACCTAATTATTTCAAAAAATAACTTTGAAACAATCAGTATGGAATAAAATACTGTACGCTATTCGTCCGGGAAAACTATTACAGTATTCGTTTCAAAATTCCGGAAATATTTCACTCATGTTGTGAGAGTTTATATTTCGGACTTATAACGTAAATATCTATTATTTTGACACACAGTTCATACTACTCTGTCCAACCAACCTAGGGAGTAGAAAAACAGCAAACACTTCAAAAGGTTCGTTACTATTAGGCAATCCAACGATGTGTCAAATATGGCCGAATGTTGGCACGCATGTGCCCATAACCCTAAATTTCTTGTATCATCAGTCCTCGTCCCTTGTGTTTACCTTTGACGTTTGGGATTTGAAAATAATTAATTCCAGCTTTTTACAAATTTCATTTCAAAATATGTCTAAGTTATTGTGAGTGTGCGTTTTTTTAGGTCTCAAAACTCACAAAATTAAGCAATAAGCAGGAAAATACGCAATCAACACAGAAAATGACAGACCGTGCGTTCGGTATTTTGATCAGAGTTCTCCGAGCTTGAATTTACCGTTCGTTTATTCAAAAAGTGTACTCGGAGCAGGCTCATTTGCGTTTATTAAAATTTCGGGCACTCGGATACTGCGTTCACCTGCTCTGTTTGCTCGCTGGTCACGTGATTACGTCTCCGCTCAGCACGCTCTACTCTTTGAGGAAAATCCCGAACGCAAGGCTCGATGCAATATTGGTGATGTTATTTTCAGCATTCAAGGGCAGGTTTCTCAATAGCGAGTCACCTCCGGGTTGGTTGGTTTTAACTCCAGGGTAAGCGTGTCCAGTTGCTATGTTTACCCCGGAGTTATGCCTAACCCGCGGGTAACTCGCTATTGAGAAACCGGCTTCAAAACACTTTTGAAAAACCCGATTGTGTCTGTGGAGACGGCAAGTTCATTCATGTAAAGTCTGTTTTTTTTAAAGAGAATTTCATACATCTGTCAAAACTGGTATTCCAACAATAAATTGACATGTTTTGATTGTTGATATGAACCAATCAGATTGTAATTACGCGATAATTTGCACTAGTGCAAATTATCAGATAATTGCATACTAACTGGTGCGAAAACTGGTGTTTTGACATTTTTTGACAAAAAATTTAAATTTTTGATTTATGAAATTCTCTCATTAAATACAACTCGTGCAATGAAAATATATTTATAATTTTCACACATTTCTTATGGAAAAGTGATCTATGTGGAATTTTGCTGAATTTTTGATATTCTGTATAGGGAGTCGTCCTCAACAAAAGTGATCATTGCGCTAATGTTCAATACCCAACAGCTTTCAAGATATCAATTAAAAACTTTTTTAATATGATACTCTTCAGTATGGCGTCACTCACAGCAAGGAAAATGATTACTATCCTTTCCACTTTTGACTTTGACTTTACTCTTCTCCTTTTAACATTAAGAAAAAAAAAGATAGCGATAGCGATTAGTGACAAATAGGTAGGTATGTAAACAACACCTAGCTCCCGCCGCAATCGTCAACTTCATGTCATGATGTCTGTCATATAGCGATTTCATTTGTTCCTGTTGTTGTTTTTTTTTATTTCCTAAATGTTAAAAGGAGAAGAGTACAAGTATAGGTAGTCAAAGTCAAAAGTGAAAAGGATAGTTATAATTTTCGGTGTTGTGAGCATACTGGTGACGTCATACCAAAGAGTATCAAATTAAAAAAGTTTTTAATTGATATCTTGAAAACTGTTGGGTATTGAACATTAGCGCAATGATCACTTTTGTTAAGGACGACTCCCTATACACAATATCAAAAATTCAGCAAAATTCCACATAGATCACTTTTCCATAAGAAATGTGCGGGGTCCTTTGCACTCATGCGTTTTTAACTGAAAAAGGCTCTTTTTCAACTAAAAATGCATTCGGGCAAATTTCCCAAAAATTATCAATAATTTCCATTGCACTAGTTATATTACTATTGATAATTCCCCAAGTCAAAAATTTAGTAACTATGTTGGCAACACA